GATAGACCAAAAACAACTGGAGAATGTGAAATGTTTTAAATATTTGGGTAGCTTGTTAACAGATGATGGAAGGTGTACGTGTGAAATTAAATCTAGGATTGCCATGGCAAAAGCTGCATTTAGTAAGAAGAACAATCTTTTTACCAGCAAATTGGACTTAAATTTGACAAAGAAACTAGTGAAATGTTACATTTAGGGCATTGCTTTGTATGGGGCTGAAACTTGGACACTTAGGGCAGTAGATCAGAAACACCTGGAAAGCTTCGAAATGTGGTGTTAGAGAAGGATGGAGAAGATCAGTTGGACCGATTATGTGAGAAATGAAGAAGTGTTATTTACAGTCAGCGAGCAGAGGAATATCCTACACGAAATAAGAAAACGGAAGGCTAATTGGATTGGTCATGTCTTACGCGGTAACTGCCTCCTAAAAGAAGTTATTGAAGGAAAGATAGAGGGGCGGATAGAAGTGACCAGAAGTCGAGGAAGAAGACGTAAGAAGATGCTGGATGACCTTGGAGACAAAAGAGGATACTTTCATTTGAAGGAGAAAGCTCTAGATCGCATCAAGTGGAGGAATTGTTTTGGAAGAGACTGTGGATCTGTCGTCTTGACAGATTACAGATGAATGGAATGAATGTTGGCAAGACCATCTTAAATAACCTGCGATCAATTCTCATGAGAAATTAAAATAAACTGCCTTCTTCAACTATAAACAAATTCTTTAAATTTAAGAAACGGTTCACATTGCCTCGACAGAGTTAGCCACGTCTGTAGCGGCAACTAGCGCTCTCCTTGCTGTCGCAGAATAATGCGATCGGAAACACAACAAGCCGGTGCTACGACACTATTCCGCCAGAGTGCTCTGCTCTATTGACTCAGCCAGTTGCACTGAGTGCCATTCTCCGCTTCAAGCTTTCAAGATGTGTTGGGAGAGAAAACACAAGCACTCCGTAGCAAGCTGTATCCAGGAGAGGCTTAAATGAATTAAAGGAAGTGGATGTACAAGCGAAACACAGCAAGATTTTATTGCACATGCCTGAGCGAGCGCAGTCTGTGGGTCGTTTCCGGCACGACACACACCTCCTGATCGAGACTGTTTCCTCAGTGTTTCCGTGTGAAAATGGGGATAGTGTCTCGAAATGGGCCACGACTTTTCCTCCAAAAGTCTTTCAACTTCACCGAAAGCAATTATTATTATTTCATATGGTGGGGCATGCGCAGTATAAAGAAGGTAGTTAAATAATGCTGATCAGGGCATGCGCAGTATAAAGAAGGTAGTTAAATAATGCTGATCACCTACTAAGCGTGACGTAACGACCATCAACGTACGTGTTATACTGTTCTCACTCAGCAAGGGAAGAAACTGCGTGCTTTCTATACAACAAGAATACTCGTCGGCGTGACCACCAAATCCCTTCACTGAAGCCTATCCAGAGCCAGATGAATCCATTTATATTCCCAACTCTTGAATAATTCTCTCATTTATACCGAAGAACCCTCGTGGCTTCTCACTTTGAGACATTCCTGTGCATGCTTCATATACTACCAATCTCAAGGTTTATTTATCACCATAATATCTGGCAGAAACTTCAAACTATGGGGCTCCACATTAGGTACTTTTCCCACTCATATATATATATATTTTTTTTTTGTTTCACGACGCTGTCATTATCGAGATCATGTAGCGCTGATCTCCATCTGCAATATGAACCGGCTTCGGCACAACTCACGCAAGCGCACTTTACACCTTACTTCCCGGCCCCAGCCCTGCCTCGACAAGTTGGTCAAGAAGCCAGTCTCTCTCTTTAGGCTACGGATGAGGTTTGCAAGGATGCGGCTAGCCGAGAAACGGAGCTAGCTACAAGACAGGATCCAGTACCCGTTTCATCTAAATAATATTTACAAATCTAGTTCCTACTTCAGCAAAAAGAAAAACGTACTGGGTCTCCGTCACACAGATCCTGTTAATGCTGCGTGGGGGAAAGACCGCTATTTACCCTGAGCATAAGAAAAAACACATAAATACATTTTGAGGAGTTCTACAAAGTTACAGCAGGTGGTGCATACAGTTATCACCGCGCTC